CGCTTCATATATGGAACTCCAAATTGTTTCTATATAGAACCATTTTTTTGGTAAAAGGTTCTATTGGCCAAGTATTCTATATAGAACCCAGAGGAACCCTTTTTTTGTAAGAGTGTATAGAACCTTTTAGGGGTTCCAAATAAGTAGCGCTAATAGAACCTTTTAAGGTTCTATATAGAACCTTTTCTTCTAAGAGCGTAGCTTAATTAAACACACATCAATAGATCAATATCAATTATTCCAGCAAAAGCTGCAATGTTATGAATGTTGCTATGTAGTTGCTAGGGCATTGTGGGTGGTTGCTAGGGTGTTGCTAGATGGTTTTCTTACCGTGTGAACTGAAAAGAGTCTCTGTGATCTTTTATTTTGGTCTATCGGACCAGAAAGTCATAAATCTGATTGCTTAGAAAAGTAACGGCATGATTTGAGGTATAAATCATTTCCATATAGCGCAAATGCTGTGCGTGCATAAAGTTTAATTCCTTGGGTTTTGGGTTTGTGCACGCAAGCTACTTTTGAACAGTCAGTCTCAAAACCTCCATAAGCGTAGTAACCTACATTGCTAAATCGCTGCTTTTGTCTCCACTTTTAGGCTTAAAACAGATGCATGGAGGGAATTAGGTCAGACATTTTTTGTCCTAACTAAGAAATCCATATTAAATACATCAGTGTTCTCCTTAAATTTTAATTGGTTGGACTTTTCTATGAGCTGAAAGGCCAGCATATCTGCGCATGCAGCAGTGAGTTTAGCCGCCGGTTCTGTGCCTATTTAAACAACACTGACAGATCAAATGTAAGAACGACGGCATGCAGACGCTAATTAACATAATTCAGCAGAGATTAAGGATTCATTGGTTTATTGAGACGGATGCTGCTTTTGTTTTCCAACTCATTCATTTATTAAATGATCCATCTCAATTGTTTGCCTTTTCAGTTCATGTTTAATTCCTCATTCATATCTGCACTCCACCTCACGGCAAAGCTTCGTGAAAGTCTCATTTATTTGTAATCCTTTCTACACTTCTCCTCTCAATCATGGATTGTTAATAAATGAAGACATTGGGATGGCAGATACATCACTTATTAACCAGTCTCAAATCCTCATGAATAATGCACTCAATTGACCGCCTTCGGATGTTATTGACCAGATCCTGCCTTAGCAACTGTTGCTGGGTGCAGTATTTAGATCGGACAAGGTGTTGCTTCTAAAGATTTGTTGCAATTTTAAGTTTGTTTGCAGTCGGTATTTATAGATATTCAACCAACTTGCATTTCACAGTCCAAATGCACTAATGCACTACCTTCATTCATCATGTCTCAAATCAACTCATTTTAGCATAACACGTTCAACAAAGGCAGCAGGCAGCATTATACAATGTAAAATTTGTAAAATTGCTTTACTAAGCAAGAACGACTCTCTATGCGGTTTAGAATTCACTACCGTTTTTGTTACATAGTCCGCGTTTGTATTACGGGACCAAATTACATTAGTATATTCAGTTTTAGTCCACTGGTTAATCCAGTTATGCTGCAAATAATTTATTCTGCAAATGTGTTTACATGCACGTTTTCTTACGAGATAAGTTTATCTGACTCAAATAAGCGTGTATTTTTAGATTTACAGTTTTTACCTACGGCTCACACATGTTTTCAAAACTAAGTTTCCTTTTTTTCAAAACTCTACGCACAATTCTCAAAACTGCACACACCTTGATCTCCTTTAAAATGCAACACTGCATTCAAAATGCCTTAAACACATGTCATTTCAAATGGAAAACACTTCTTTCATAATAATACGTTTTTGGATATTCATAATTATACATTCTTTCATTGGCTTTTATCTACATTTCAATACGCTGTAAAAAAAAAAATTCAAGATTTGTTATCACATTTTTTCTTTTGTCAAATCAACTTAAATAATTTATTTAGTTCAGATAACTTATTATTTCATTGTATTAACTCACTTTTTCCAGTTCAATTAACTTAAAATTTTAAGGCAACCAGGTTTACTCAATTTTTTAAGTTAAACCGACAATATTTTTTACAGTGTGAGAAATAGCTTATGCTTTTGAAGATTTGGCATGTAGTTTTGCACTTTGAGTGAGAGGTTTCAAAAATTGATTTTGTGTGTGAGCAGTTGGCAAAAACTGTAATGCACATATTGGCGTTTCCATACAAACATACACTCTAAAAATTGTTGGGTTAAAAATGTAATTAAAAAATGTATAGTTGAACGTGAAAGTTGAAGTTGGGTAAAACTTTAAATGACATTTTTTAACCCAACATTTGGGTTTGTCCATATTTGACCCAAAGTTGGGTTAAAACAACCCAGCATTTTTAGAGTGTATACACTCTAAAAATTGATGGGTTGTTTTAACCCAAATTTGGGTCAAATATGTACAAACCCAAATGTTGGGTTAAAAATGTAATTTAAAAAAATTAACCAATGGCTGGTTTTGTCCATATTTGACCCAAAGTTCTGTTAAAACAACCCAGCAATTCTAAAAATGCTGGGTTGTTTTAACCCAACTTTGGGTCAAATATGGACAAACCCAAATGTTGGGTTAAAAAAATGTCATTTAAAGTTTTAACCCAACTTCAACTTTCACGTTCAACTATACATTTTTTTAATTACATTTTTAACCCAACATTTGGGTTTGTCCATATTTGACCCAAATTTGGGTTGAAACAACCCAGCATTTTTTAGAGTGTATACACTCTAAAAATTGCTGGGTTGTTTTAACCGAACTTTGGGTCAAATATGGACAAACCCAGCCATTGGTTAATTTTTTTAATTACATTTTTAACCCAACATTTGGGTTTGTCCATATTTGACCCAAATTTGGGTAGAAACAACCCAGCATTTTTTAGAGTGTATACACTCTAAAAATTGCTGGGTTGTTTTAACCCAACTTTGGGTCAAATATGGACAAACCCAGCCATTGGTTATTTTTTTTAATTACATTTTTAACCCAACATTTGGGTTTGTCCATATTTGACCCAAATTTGGGTAGAAACAACCCAGCATTTTTTAGAGTGTATACACTCTAAAAATTGCTGGGTTGTTTTAACCCAACTTTGGGTCAAATATGGACAAACCCAGCCATTGGTTATTTTTTTTAATTACATTTTTAACCCAACATTTGGGTTTGTCCATATTTGACCCAAATTTGGGTTAAAACAACCCAGCATTTTTAGAGTGTAGCTATTGTTTTGGCACAAAATGCATTCAATGATAATGACCCGCAGTTTAGCCACATAGACTGATGCTGTGCTCACTGTGTGAAGAGTTTTTCTCGAGTTCACACTTACATATAGAGTGGATACGATTAAATGCGTATTTGGCGTGCTGTGCGGGGGGGAGGGCTCCGAGCTCGCAGTTTGGCCCGAACCCAGAGTAAGTGTTTAGGACTGGAAGTGTGGAGAAGGAATGCTGCTAAACTATCGATGGAGTGAGGTGAGATTGCTGAATCTATATATACCTCTTATCATTGATTGCTGAGTGCACGCGTGTGAATTACCTGAACGTGTTCCTCTCAATCTTTGTTAATAAAACATCATATTGAGAAATGAGTCCTAACGATTGTAAAAAGCTATAATATCCAGTCAATATATTTCATCGCTTTAGCACACTTTACCGAAAATGAACTTGACCAAGAAGGGCGGAGCTTAGCAAAGGGTCATTTCTAGTAGAAACCGCTGTGAGATTATTCCGAGCGATGCGAAAAGGACAAGTCTCTCATTAAGATTTAGATGTGTTTGGTAATAAGTTCCCTAGCTGCGATGAGATGGCAGGTTGGGTTTGTTAATATCCTCCTCGTGTTGTGATATGATCCACTGAGAGAAGTCCACTTCTGCTGTACAAGCGGCTCAGTTGTTTACTGAAGAGTCAATTTGAGGTTAATGGATTTTCCTTTCCTGTTTGAGACAATTTGGCTTTCTAATAAGTAATTTTCTTGGAAACTGTGATGCTTGACACATGCAGGCTTTGCATATTTTAAATAAACTCTTTTAGTATGTTAAAATTTCTCATTTTTAGCAAAGAAAGCTCACCTTTAAAGGAGTAGTTCACTTTTCAAAAAACATTTGCTGATAATTTACTCACCCCCATGTCATCCAAGATGTCCATATCTTTCTTTCTTCAGTTAAAAAGAAATTAAGGTTTTTGATGAAAACATTCCAGGATTTTCTCCATATAATGCACGTCAATGGGGACCAAACAGTTCAAGGTCCAAAAGACACTTTCAGTGCAGCTTCAAAGGGCTTTAAGCGATTCCAGTCGATGAATAAGGGTCTTATCAAGCGTAACGATCGCTCATTTAATAAATAAATAACAAATTTTAAGTTTTACAAGCTCAAATGCTCGCCTTGCTCTGTTCTGTGATGAACTTTCGTGACTCTCCTGTTTGAACTCGTTCATCAAAATGAACAAATCTTTTTTCGAGTCATGACTCGAAGGGTCCTTGATAAGACCCGTATTCATCGTCTGGAATTAAACAGTTTGCACTGAAACTCTCATTTGGACCTTAAGCCATTTGGACCCCATTGAAGTCCATTATATGGAGAAAATCCTGGAATGTTTTCATCAAAAACCTTAATTTCTTTACAACTGAAGAAAGAAAGACATGGACATCTTGAATGACATGGGGGTGAGTAAATTATCAGCAAAAGTTTTTTTTTTTTTTTAAATTGAACTACTTTTTTAACGTATGTTTTTTTTTATATGAGATCCAAAGGTTAATTTAGTTATTTTTGAATGCATTATAATTGAATGCATCCTTTCTGGATAAAAGTATTCATTTTAATTTAACAGTACTGTATATATGTTTAAATTAGTCTAGTTCCTCCTCAGAAAGTTCACAATGTTTCAATTTCAATAAATTCTCTATTTTTGACTTACAGGGAACTTTTTATATTTCAAAACATGGTCAATGCTAATCTTAACATCTGTTATATAATATTAAAGTGTCTCTCTTGCTTGTCTCTCATTGTTCCTTTAGTCCTGGTGCTGCTGATTTTGACCCTCAAACGTCACAGGAAGGGCCAGCGCATGTCCGAAGATGAGGAGGACATGCGCGACAACGTCATCAAATACAACGACGAGGGCGGCGGAGAGCAAGACACCCAGGCGTACGACATGAGCGCCCTACGCAACCTCTACGACTTCCCAGAGGTCAAAAGCTCGGATTCTGGCCCCGACTTGCGCTCCGTCCCTCAGTGGATCCAAAACAGAGTGGTGGGAGACGGCGGGCCGGCCGACTTCACGGTTTTCAAAGGCTACATACGCAAGAAGGTCGAGCAAGCGGACGCGGACTTATCGGTGCCGCCGTACGACTCGTTCCAGACTTACGCTTTCGAGGGCAGCAGCTCGCCGGCTCTCTCGCTGAGCTCCATCCGTACGCTATCCACAACCTCAGAGCAGGACTTCTCATACCTCAGCGATTGGGGGCCGCGCTTCAGGCAGCTGGCGGGCTACTACGCCCCGGCCCAAGCTGAAGAAGAGGGGTCCTAGCACCATGCTCTCCCCTGACCCGCTCTCAGAGACCCCACTGTCCCGGTCCTGGAGTCGTTTTCCTCCCTGCAGTTCGTTTGTTGGATCCCGGTTAGTCCGGAGAGATTTAATGTCACCCGTTACACTCTGCAAAGTGACTTCTTGTCTTGTAGAAAAGTTCAGGACAAATATCGAAGGAGAAGAGCATTAGGCCGGGTGCCGGGCAAACCTCCAACATCTCCTCACCTGTCAGAGAGAGCAAGAAGAAGCGGGGCCGTGCCATAATATGCACTATTCAAAACTCCCGTTGTTTTTTTTTTTTGTGGTCTCTTTGCGCATCTGTGGAAATAAGGACTTTAACTCACCGGGATCTGGAGGAAGACAATGGAAATGTCTTTTTAAATACCAACATTTAAAAAAAAAAAAAAAACCCTTAAATAAATATGTATTTATTTAAAGAAAAACGAACAAAAAAAAAGGTAAAACAATATTTATGTATTTATTGCTTTCTATTTATTTATTTATTCATCCTGGCAATGGACTGAAATAGAGAAAAAATGGACATAAAAGTTGTCAGGGTGACAGACAAAGACTGAATATGGTGGGGGTGGGATTGGTATCAGTGACAGTAAATCGGTCTTGAAAATATTTGTATTTATTTTTTAGAGACTCTTTTTGTAAAATACGAAACCGATTCTGGTGGAGAAAAGTACCAGCTGTTGGGGTGAATCTCCCGAACACATGCCACGCTTCACCCACAAATCATGGGAATAAAATAGGAAAATACAACACATTTTGCATGAAGATAATGAAGTCTGTTTTAAAGGAGCAAGGTTTGTGATATTGTGCTTATGGAAATTAAGCACGTTTTCCCTCCAATTTATTTAATTTTTTTGTATTTCTCATGATTCCCAATAGATCCTTTGATCTGTAATATAGTTAAATGACTGTAATTTGTATTACAGTTGGGAGAATTTGTGGAAAATGTGATTAATTGTCATAAAAATAATTACTAGGCTTCATTTACTTTCTGCAAAATATGATTGAACATTTCTTTCTTTGATTCTGAAGTGAAATAATTCCTTGACAGGTTTCGTGAACATTGGTTTTGTCTTGTCATACATCTTGTGTGTTGTGTTGCTTTTCAACTAAGTATCCAGATTGGAAGTTGTGTTCGCCATTGAATCTTTTCAAGGGGAATTTTGAAAGACAACGTGGCACAATACACGACTAAAGAGACAAAAGAGGCCATCTGACAGGTTCTTTATCAGACATCCCAAGATATACATGTTCATTGATGACTCGTGAGTGTGCCAACGAGACGTTTCCAGAGGTGGTTTGGTTGCTTTTTGATTATTGTGTTGGGTTGAGGCTGATGAACGGGGTGAAGCGCTCATGTTTTTCCCAGAACCAGCACCCTTAAATGTCCACCCAAACATGCAGATGTATGGCTAAAATACAATTGAAATCATCAATAAATATTTACGGTTTTTCAAGATGTTTCGAATGCTGAGTTTTTGTGCCACAAAAAGAGTGAATGCATAAATCTCACGTTTTTAATCTTGCATTTTATATTGTAATCTCTGTCTTAGGGATGCACCGATATGAAGATTTTTGGCCGATACCGATAACCGATAATTCTTTATATCTGAAAGCCGATAACCGATATATTGCCCGATAAATCTAAATCCAAATTTTTATATAATTTTGGAGACAAAAGTCTCACCAATAAAAGCCACGTCTCAAACACACAATTCTAATGTTTTCATATGAATTTTATGTAGAAGTAGTATGTAGTCTTTTATGTAGCTGTAATCTGATAGACTGCACGTTTGCACTTTTCTTTCTTTCTTTTCTTATTTTTGAAGTGATTCCAATCATATTTCAGGCAGGTCAAAACCATCATGGTGAATAGTGCACATCTGAAGGAAATCTGGTTTAGTATGTCGGGCAAATGTTCTTTTCGGGACGATACCAAGCGATGTATCAACTGATACTGATATGGTGGCCGAGATTTTATTTAATTTAATTTTTTTCTTGTCTTTTGTAATTCTCATTGTTCTTAGTGATGGTTCTCATTATTGTAATACAGTACCCTTTATAAAAATATAATAAAATGATTTACTTTATGCAAAATGATTACATTGCATAAATGAAGAGCAACATAAGAAATACTGCTGTGCTATATAAATCATTTAAACAATGTGTCTGTTTTTGCTTTATAGCAATGAAATTATTACACTGTAAAAAATATTGTTGGTTTAACTTAAAAAAATGAAGTAACTTGGTTGCCTTCAAATTTTTAAGTTCATTGAACTGGAAAAATTAAGTTAACACAATGAATGAGATTGATTTAAGCATCAGAAACTCAAAATATTATGTTATCTGAACTACATAAATTATTTAAGTTGATTTGACGAAAGAAAAAATGTGATTACAAATCATGAAAATATTTTTTTTTACAGTGTAGGAGAAAACATAAAGCAAAAACAAACTTTAAATCATTGTAATTTTCTTTATGCAAATTTGTACACTGTAAAAAATATTGTTGGTTTAACTTAAAAAATGAAGTAACCTGGTTGCCTTAAAATTTTAAGTTCATTGAAATGGAAACGTTGAGTTAATACAATGAAACTCAAAATATTATGTTATATGAACTACATAAATGATTTAAGTTGATTTGACACAAGAAAAAATGTTGAGATTACAAATCATGCAAATATGTTTTTTTTTCTGATTCTGGAGGGAAATGTGACTCGGATGAGGTTTTGTCAGGAAAGGGAAGTGCAGTGCGGCCACTATAAACTGATGATGATGTTGAACACGCTTTAACACACAGTGCAGCAGCAGATGTTCTCATTTTACTTTGGCTTGTTTTTGCTTTGAGTCGCGACTGCGTTTGATGGATGAGCTCTTATGGCAGTGTATAAACCTGCACACGTCAGTGGCCACCCAGAGCAAGTCTAGACAGACGTTTCAAAACAGGATCGTTTGCGCAGAATCAAAATAGTTCAAACACAGATAGGAGTGGCATCCAAACAGCCCACAATTATAGAAAGAGCCACAAGGCTAATGCAGGCTGAAGATGGAATCGTGCCGTACATGATTCATCCAATCTTCTCGTGTTTTATTAAAAGGTAACAGGGAAATGACAGAATGGAATTACGTGTTCTTTGACCTTGATCTTCATTGACAGCCGTCCATGCGGGATCATTACGCCGTTAAAGGAATTCCGAAGCCCCAGAGCCATAATGAAATCCTCATCAAGCAAATGTCATGGAGATGCAGACGCTGACTAATGCAATGACAGATGCGCAGAAGAACAAGAGTGTGTATCGCTCCGAGGCAACGTGTGTGTCTGTTTTGTCCTCGTGTTTAATTTAAAAGAACGCAGACTCATTCCTCTGTCAACCCGAGAACATTCCAACATTCCAATGGAATAACATCATATTTTGAATGAACTCTCGCTAATTTGATTCAGTCATTGGAATTTCATTTTATGGCTGATATTTTATATCAGTGTTATTATAGTATTATTTACTGTACATAGTATTATAGTATTTATGGATATTTCAAATTACACTCTTTGGGTCAAATATGGACAAACCCAAATGTTGGGTTAAAAACTTAATTTCAACATTTAACCCAACGGCTGAGTTTGTCCATATTTGACCCAAAGATGGGTTAAAACAACTTAGCTTTTATTTTTATATGTTTAGCATTCATTTTAATTTTTGTTTATGCTTTTGCCATTTGTATTAGAATTGTATCATTTATTTTCATTTCAAATTAAACTTATTAGTAGCACTTTAAAATAGGGTTTTATTTGATACACTCTAAAAATGCTGGGTTGTTTTAACCCAACTTTGGGTCAAATATGGACAAACCTAGCCATTGGGTTACATTTGTTTTTTAAATTATTAGATTTTTAACCCAACATTTGGGTTTGTTCATATTTGACCCAAAGTTGGGTTAAAACAACCCAGCATTTTTAGAGTGTGTTATTTTAGTTTTATTAATATTTTTTATTAGCTTTCTTTTTTTGTGTGTTAATTTTAGTTAAGTCTTTTGTCATTTTGTTTGGTGCTATTTTAATTTTATTATTTTTCAACTTATTTTGTTTCAGTTAGCTGCCAAGGCAACATTTCTAATTAAATGACTGTATAAAATGCTGGGTTGTTTTAACCCAATTTTGGGTCAAATATGGACAAACCCGAAATGTTGGGTTAAAAATGTTATGTAAAAATTTAACCCAATGGCTGGGTTAGTCCATATTTGACCCAAAGTTGGGTTAAAACAACCCAGCATTTTTTAGAGTGATAGTTTTAATTTTAGTTTGATAGTTAAAGGATAGTTCACTTTTGAAAAAAACTTTTGCTGATAATTTACTCACCCCCATGTCATCCAAGATGTCCATGTCTTTCTTTCCTCAGTCGAAAAGAAATTTAGGTTTTTGATGAAAACATTCCAGGATTTTTCTCCATATAATGGACTTCAATGGGAACCGGATGGTTCAGGTCCAAAAGACAGTTAATAACAGTTTCAGATGCAGCTTCAAATGTCTTTAAACGACACCAGACGATGAATAAGGGTCTTATCATGCGAAACGATCGGTTATTTCAAAGCTTATTCCAAAAATTTAACTTTTCTAAGGACAAATGCTAGCCTTTCTCCATTCTGTGAGGCGCGTTTGCAACGTCACGTAATACGTAATTACGTTCAAAAGGTCACGGGTGACGTAGCCAGAAGTACAGAGTCAGAGTGTTTACAAGTTGAACGCATAGGTTGAACGTGAAAACTAACTCAAACGCCGTTTACAAAAAAGGAATTAAAAGGAAAAACAACGATGTCGGACGATATTGATTCTGTACTTCCGGCTACGTCGCCCGTGACCTTTTGAACGTAATTACGTATTACGTGACGTTACAAACGCGCCTCACAGAATGGAGAATTTGTCCTTAGAAAAGTTACATTTTTGGAATAAGCTTTGAAATAACCGATCGTTTCGCATGATAAGACCCTTATTCATCGTCTGGTGTCGTTTAAAGACATTTGAAGCTGCATCTGAAACAGTTATTAACTGTCTTTTGGACCTTGAACCATCCGGTTCCCATTGAAGTCCATTATATGGAGAAAAATCCTGGAATGTTTTCATCAAAAACCTAAATTTCTTTTCGACTGAGGAAAGAAAGACATGGACATCTTGGATGACATGGGGGTGAGTAAATTATCAGCAAAAGTTTTTTCAAAAGTGAACTAATCCTTTAAGAGCGCTGCTCTGTATGGTTTGGTCTGTACAGAATATACACTGTGCAGGACGATTAACATCACTGAACGCCCTGATGAAAACAACCAGACCAATTGCTATAATTGATTGTGCATTGAAACAAATCGAATCCATCTGCAAATATTGACGTTAATGTGACGTGGCGACAGAGTCGAACATCACTCAGTGAAAACAAGCCAGAATGATTGTCTCTGGGACAAACACGGCTATCTGTGTTTCAGATCGAGAATACCAATATGGTCTGGAGTAGAAACCAGTGTTCTGTGTTTAGTCTTCATGAGAGAAACTCTCAACGTTTGTTTACCCGATCAGGATTTGTTTGCGAACAATTATTATCTTACATATCCATTGTGTGTCTGATAGAAGAGCGTAGGATTCTGTCTCATGGATACTCACCATATGTTCTATAGATGATATGCACAGAGTTTTATATTAAAGTTGCTTGCAGTTGTCCTGCTTCATGCTTGTAGAGACCAAAACTATTTTATCTTTTTTTTTTTTTTTTTTTTTTAGGATTTTTTGATGAATAGACATTCAAAACCACAGCATATACAGTAGTTGAAATAGAAATCTGGTTTAAGTGTGAATTAAATTTGAGCATTACATGTAGTGCATGCGATGATTATGTTTAAATAATTTAAATTTGGGTAAAAGCATCACATGATTTTAAAAGACTATAAAGTGTATGTAAACATATTGTTGGTTTAACTTAAAAAATTAAGTAACCTCGCTGTCTTAAAAATGTAAGTTCATTGAAATGGAAAAATTGAGTTAATACAATGAGGTTGATTGATTTAATCATCAGAAACTTAAAATATTATGTTATCTGAACTACATAAATTATTTAAATTGATTTGACAAAAGAAATAATGTTGTGATAACAAATCATGAAAATATTTTTTTACAGTTTATTTCATGCTACAATTCATCATTCACGTTTGGAAAACAGTAAATTGGACATTCTGCTAAACATCTCCTTTTATGTCCTAAGTCATACAGTAACATGCGGGTGAGTAAATAATATTTTTTTCAGAATTTCCCCTTATTTATTTAGCATTATTGACTGTTATCATAATGCTGTAGTCACTGTTTCATTAAAGCAGCTGCAGGCAGTCTTGAGCATTGTTGGGTGTAATGCATTCATTAAAAGTTATGTAATCAGTTACTTTTACTAGTTTTCCAAGAACCTAGTAAAGTAACACATTACTT